ACTGCAGGATTTATTGTGGCAGGGGCCAACCAGGCCAAGAGTAAAACGAAGCAAAAAGCCACAGCACCTGACACCTCTAGTAGCCCACACTCTAATCAGACCTGGCGGAAATTAATTCAAGAGGAATTTTTACATGGGCTCCACTGTTGTATTCTGCTTTCATGTTGACTACAAGAATCCTAGCAGATTACACTGACATCCAAGGACTAGGGGGCTCATTTATATTAGTGTAGCATCATACTGCTGCTATATTTTGATTAGGTGGAAAAATGGATCCCTTTGATTGAGCTATGTCTACCGACCAAAATACTTCAGTGTTTACAACACCTATAGGGATCACACATTTAATTAGCCGAGTTACCCCTCATCTCTAACTTGCCTCTCTATTATTCATAACGCCCTCTCAGAGTTGCTATTTGCTCATTCAAGCTGCAAACCCAGAACCTGTCACAGATTTAATTCATTACATCAAACACTTAGAGCTTCTAAAGGTCAAGCCTTACACTAGACCCTGGGGATGTTCAAAAAATGTTTTCATAACACATATATAAGCAACATTCATGTGCATAGTCATAAAAATAAAACTATGATGATAATAACTCACAAGTGTAATAGTGGTTATACCTGGTTGTGAGATAATGAATTCCTACTTTCTCTTTCCTATTTTTCTGATATTTCCAACCATTTTTACAACAAACATGTTTTATGCTCAAAACCATTAAAAACAAAAAACTAAGGCTCCTGCTATGGAAGTGTGAAAAGGAAAATAAAGACACTTAACTATCTTTTTTTATGCTCAGCAAGTTAATTTTTATTTTAAAAGAACAAAATATGTCTTCCTCTTTTAAAGACTCTAAATATTAGAGCTATAAAAAACAATTTTGAGAATCTAGATCCTGCAAATGAGTTGTGGCCTGACAAGTCAATTTAAGCAATTAAAATCTATCTACCCCAGGTAAGTATGCACTACGCCATAAAAACAATGCATGGCTTTAACACTTTAATCTGTGATTAATACTACATAATTTAGTGAATTTAGTGGGCCAGAAGTTCATTGGAAATAATAAATACCACTTCTGAACCAGAAATTAAAGGGTTTCATTCATTCAAAGAAATAAAATGAGTCACTGGGACATACCGGATGTATTTTTATTGGTTTGGTTGGTTGGTTTTGGTCTGGTAGATATGAGTGAAAAATGAGTTTCTGTGAAGGGCTTTGGTTATTCAAGCTTACGCTAGAGGTCTGGGTAAATATCATAATGCTCAAAGAAACAAACTGAAAACCACAAAACAAATATTTATAACCAAAGGAGTAACCACAATACTATCGATGAAATTCTTCTCTAATGAGCCTGGATTAGCTCTTGCAAACTCAACTCAGAAACTGTGAATCACACACTTGCAAGTCTACTTTAAGGTTACACTTACAGGGGAGATTTGTGTATGCCACTCACGGATTTCAATTAATCATAGTCAACCATTTCAAAACTCCCTGCAATTTCTGTCTTAAACAAATCCAGATTTCTCTGAAAATCGTTTTCTCCACTTGTAGATTGATATTAAAAATGCAACCTTGGTTTTAGAGGAGAAGCAAAGGAGGATGTCGTCTCTGTATGTAAGTTAAGAGACCCATGTGCTGTCTCTTTTAACCTCCAACCTATGGCCTTTTCCTTTACTTACACTTCCCATCTGTCAACAAGTGCTTGTAATTTTATTACACTGTCCTGTAGTTTACGCAGAGTTGGTATTATTTTACAGAGTTCTGTTAATGGACTGGATAAATGGTAATGCTATTTAAACTAGTCTCCTGCTCCAACAAACACAGCTGCAACTGTACTACTATTTCTGAGCAAACATCTTGACCTGAACATGTAGTGCTCTCTCAACCCATCCACAGAGAAATTGGAGCAGACAGCAAAGGAAAAGCATATTTGGCTGCTAGCAGCAACCAACCGTGTCGAATCATAATTCATATACAGTGTACCCTCCTTTTCTTTTATATTGCATTTGGAGTCCACAGAAAGCATGTGTGCTTCTTCCACTGGCATCTCACTTTCAGCCAAGAGTCAAATGGTGATTATTCATCACAAACATGCAAAGAATATCTGTGTGATATCTAGTACACCAGGCTGGCTTTAATCTAAGCAAATGATGCTAAAAGTAAAATAATGTATGAACTGCATTTTAAGCTGGTAAACTTTCATTGGTGATATATCAGAGAAACATACAGTTAAGTAGCTGTGAAAGCTACAATATGTAAGAAAAGAAATAATTGAAATATTAGTATTCTACTATTTAAAAAGAAAAAATAAATTCTAAATTCATTTTTCTTGATTTCTAGATATGTGAGGCCCTCCTACACCATATAATAGAGCAACTATCAAGCTGTTAGTATGTAATCAATAACCAGTCAATTACTTTCTTATCCTAATACTTTCTTCTTGTTATCTTCTGTCATCTATCACTATTGTGCAAAAAAGACACTTTTTCAATGGGAATTTTAAAGGCCTCTTTTGCATGTAAATTTGCAAACAGTTTTCCATCCCCTCAGAATATTTTTTCAGGTAAGCTACTAGGCACTGTACCATATTAACAAAATTTGAACCTATACCCTTGCTGTCCATAGTCAACATCACAAACTGATTATTTTGGTTATTAAAGATGCTAGATGACAGCTATTTAATTTAAAAATCACCATCACAGAAAAGTGGTTACATGAAGCTTATAACTTATCTTTTCAAGAGAACAATTATTGTTAACAATTCATTAAAGTATAATTTAGAGGAGGCAACAGTTCCTCAACTCAAAAGAAGACTCCTGAGTTGAGGATACAGATACATACCCTAAGTTTCTGTATGCATTGACTGTCTATATGAAGTGTCAAACCCAAAGCAAAGAGGGACAATAATAAACAGTAAGCTATCAAGCTATAACTCCAGGAATATCAAAATTGCCATGTCTTTCTTATAACCAGTTCTACCTAACAAACCTAACTTTAGCTTTCATTACATCCCAGGGAAAATCCTTTGATCCCAACAGGCACATAAAAGGGCTGAATGCATTTTCTAACTACCCATTGTCCTAATTTTTCACATGCCTAAATTAAGTAGAAAGTGTCATCTTATACTTTCACAAGTTAAAATTCTTTGATTCACTCAAAAATGTCATCCCTTTCTTTCATATAGAAGTTCCATAAAGTTTTAAAATAACAAAATATATGAAAAAATATTTTTACCCACTATCTGGTACTGTCAATGAAGGCAAAATGTCTAACAAAATGTAGTTTGTAGGTGGGGAATTCTGCAACAGATTACACCATCTGAAATTGGAGAGACTAATCCAAATACGTTTAGAATAAACATCAAACATTCTCGTTTCTTAGATAGTGTTGAGATTACTTCCTACATTTTCCCTTTTTGGCTTAATAATGTTCAGTCAAGAGAACAGTCATCCCTTTCAAATTTTATTTTTATAATATACAAAATAGTTTCCTCGAGTGTTAACTGTTTTTAGGTGCACAGTGCACAGTAGTTTCACTGAACTCACTATATACTAGTCTTGAAGTCAATTCTTTAAAATCTCCTTCAATGACAATATTTAAAGCAGAAAGTAGAATACTACTGAAATTATCCTCACAGCCCTTCTTGGAAACTAAGCACAAATATTTAAATAGAAATATCAATTGATAAACATATACAGAGTCTTTATAGTAGCCTGCTCCCTACTTCCTCAGTAAAAGTAGTCCCTAAAGAATTTTTTATTAAAAAGCCTGTCCAAGGTTTCTTTATTTGATTTTTTAAAAATTTCCTTAAATTGGGCCAATTAAACAGCAGGGGACACAAAGAAGAGGAGAAATCCTGCCAGCGGCTTTGGCTATCCTCAGAGGAACAATGTCAGAGTCAGACTCTAGAGAGTTGGTCTGGCATGTCAGCTGGGCAAGTTCTCCCTGCAGCAAGTGGAGACACTAGGGGACCTAAGGGAGACCATGATTACCATGGGGGAAGGTGTTGGGAACAGTCCTCTTACTTCTGGAATTGATGACCACATTGTTGAACTAGTAGGTTGCAAAACCTTGGCTATAAAATCAAGTTCGGGGCAAAAAAAAAAAAAAGCAATATGCTCACTTTCTCTACAAACACTGCCATACGGGACATCCCCACCGTCCAGGTGGGGCCACTCGAAGCAGTTTGTATATCCCAGGACTTTTTTTCCCAACATGCGTGAACATCAATAATCATTGCTGTTTATTTTTCCAACACTTTGTAGTTTATCTTCCATCTGCACAAAATCATTCATGTGGCTGAAAATCTAATTTTAAAAGCTTTCAAATGTGTTTTCACTATTATACATTAGGTCAGCGCACAAGCATTCCAGGGAGGAAAAACTGTTTCTTCCTAATACTCACAGTATGCTCCTTTAAAGAACCACTTCCCTTTAACAGTCTATGACATAACTGATACGAAAACCTTGCCTTATGGACACACATATTGTGGAATTTGGAATTCTGGCTTTAAAAGAAACACTTAAGAGATTTACTGCTCTCTTTAAATACCTTATAATAATATTTTCAGACTAATAAACACTACTACTAGAGTACAGAAACAATACCAAAAAGCTGACATTAAGAACCACAACTGTAGAAGAAACCATGCCAGCTTCCTCTTGAAAGGAAGCACAGTAGCAACTTTCCTCTCAGAACTTACATTTCCAGAAAGTACGCACACTTCACCATCACTGGGTAATCAGAAAAAGTAAGCTAAAATAATACGATTATAATAACACATACATAAGCCACTGAGCACAGTAAAAAAAAAAAAAAAATGAACCACTGGAAAACCAATCATAAATTTCCTTAAGGAACAACAACAAAAAAGCAAAGCTTTAATCCATTAATCTGTTGGTGAGTACATTCCAGGAACACACAAGGAAATAGATCCAAAACACACTTAATAAAGCACGAGGACTACCCAAAGCAACAATAACTGTTTGCATCTACTTACAGCCTGTATAACTTCGCAGTCCCAAGAAACAGCAACTCAGGAAACAGCTGAAGGTGATTTTTGTTTAAACGCCTTTTGAGAAAACAAAAACAAAGCTTATGTTACACAGAAAATACACAACAATGAGACTGTGATTTGGTAGTGTTATGCCTCATCCTGTATTTCAGGGAAGAATGAAATGACATTGAAAAGAACTCAAGCATTGCAAATCAAAACATGGTTACACCTTTTGTTGCATGACTCTTTAAAGCAATTTTCTATTATGCTTACTCAGATGATTACTGGAGCCTACACTTTAAACTCAAATTCTGTGCCGCATCAGTCAACCAGAATATACACAACGATAAAAGATTTCATGAAGCTCACTCAAGTCTGACAGCCAACTTTAACAAGCAACAGAAAAGACCACAGTCACTAGTACCTTAAAAAAATTCATACTTCCCAAATGGCCTAAATTTCTAGGCAAAGCATTGTAGGGAAATAGAAATTTCAATTCTGCTACATTTTCATTTAGATGGGGGGAAAATGTGAGAAAGTATCACATGATTTGTCCCTACAAGCAAAAATCAGGAGAAAGTCAACAGAGTTCAAACTTCAAACCACAGCCCTCAACTCTTAACTGAATTTGAGGTTCAGAGGTACAATGAACAGTGTCAAAAATGGTTTAAATGTTTTCAAACGTTTAGGTGATACTGGAATGTTCTCAATGTCTTAGAGAAGAGCTTGATCGCAACTCTAACTCAATTGAAGCCCTGATGTTATGTAACAAAGTTCTTTTGGACCATGAAATAAAGAATGGGGGAAAAAATCTTATTCTGATATTCTAATAGGCCTAAACCATCTGTCATAAGTGTAGAATTTAACAATTAAAAATAATTTGTCTATGTCTCTGCTTTTCTCAATCTAAATAAAATAATGACAAGCTGATGTAAATTGCACACAAATGATGGTTTAGCTCTCAAGGAGCAAAAACAAATCCAAGAATTCATGTCACCCTGACGAAACCAGAGCTATTTGTTAAGTCTTGAAGACAAATGTGAAGGGACAGGAAAAGAGACTGTATTAGCCTAGATGTATTTAAAGGGTCATCAGTTAGAAGCAGAACGGTACTCATTTAGCATCTACAGGACAGAAACAGGACCAGTGACTGCAAATTCCAAGAAAGTAGATAAAAAAGGAAAACCATTGTAAGACTTAGAAATATTAACAAATAGAATGATCTGCCTTGAGAAAACTTTCAACTCTGTGTTCTGGCAGAGGCTACGGGATTGTTTTTTCCTGCAAAGGATGTAATAAAAGGAAATCCTATATTAGGTGAGAAACTGGAGCAACTGAACTCAGAATTTCCTCCAAATCTTCAAACACATAGGGTGGTGATGGTAACCATACTTTCACTACATAAACTCCCACTACAAAAAACTGGGAACTACAAAACATTCTCAGCACTTAATAAAACGTACACTAGTAAAAATTTATGCCAAGACAAAATGGGGGCAAATAGTAAAATTACTGGTGGAAGGGCAAATTTACTTCCCACTGACATTAATTTTTATGAACACAATACTTAAGAAGATTAGATTTAAAGCAAAACCAAAAGTTTATTAATTTGTTCTCTGCTGAGCATGATTCTGAGGAAGGAGTAACTTCCAGAGTCACCTATTAAGCTATTTCAATAAAATAAGTTTAATTATGACTTGGTTATATTTCTCTCTCAAAAAGGTAGCCTAAACGTATTCACAAGACAATTTTCCTAGAAAAGCAACAACTTCTGGAAGGACCCCCACTGTCCAAAGATCCCATTTCAATTTCTAAAACAGCAGAAATAGGGCTTCCATAATCTGGTCCAAACCATCAGAATAACACTCCTCATCTGCGGTGCTCCAGTCACAACAGGCATGCTCCTTCAGGGGCTCAGCCCTGTGGAGGCAGGGTCTGTATGCAGCCGCTCCCTTTTCTCCAATGCCACTTAGAATCCTCTCTGAACCTTCTCCAGGTAGTCCTACACGGTTATGGCCTCACTTGGTTGTGTTGCCACAGCATTTGAAGGTCTCTTACCCTGAATTGTGTTTATTCATGTACTGATGTCCTTCCCGGTAGGGTGTTAGCTCAAGCAGGAAGCCCAGGTTTTGGTATTCCCTCTCTTCTTCTCTGGCACCCAGCTTTTAGACCCCATCAAAAGGCAAAGAGAGCAGTCTGCTCTCACTCAGCATTTCCTAGCCTTCCCTAACACTTAGTAGATTCTTCGGAAATGTTGCATAAGAAGAGAATGATCTCGTTGCATTTTTGATATAATTTATCAGTGACCCGGTACATGCCAGAACTTCTCTTAGGTTATATGCCACACTCTAGCCAATGAGAGGCTCACCATCAAACCAGCTTTCATGTGCCTAAGACAGCAGCTACATTCTTCCCCTTCCAACAACCTCCTTGCCTTCAACCCCTACCCCATACAACTTCAACATCACCAAGAAGCTACAAAGCATTCAGTATTTTTAAACTAGTTCAAACATATAAGTGATTTAGAGCTGCCACTAGCTATCATAGTAAGGGTCCTACAAAAGTGTAATTTCATATATGGTGAGAAAAGAAGTATCTCAGATTGGTGCCATCATTATCTTTTACATTATTATTACCGTTTTCACATTCCCTCCACAGGTAATAGCTAACAGATTAAGCTTCCTATGTGATGGTCACTGTTCTGAAAGCTTTATCGGAGTCATCTGCTATTAACAACATCTCCAAGAGGCAGAGCAATTCTCTCTGCGTTTCTGGGGACACCCATTCAGCTCAAAGACAGCTAGGACTTGGATGCAGGTGGCAGGAGCCCAGAGCAGACCGTCTGAATCAGCTCTCTCAAATAAACAAAGTCTAAACACTTGCAACAATAATTCAAAATGGTATAATTCTGAAACCTTCCTTTTTACCCTTCTTTCCTTGGGAAAAAAAAAAAAAACAGTTTTATGTAGTTCACTTCATACATATGTATGAATTAGTCACCTGAAAATAAAACATCAAGTTTAATTTAAGGAGAAAACTGGGTTGGTGTTGCAAACACTTATTTAAAATACCAAAAGGAAAAGAAAAATACATGGACATTTTTCTCTGAATTCAAGTGGTTTGTCACTTTCAGGAAAGTTATTATGATCTTAATGTCTAAACAAACCAAAATACATTTCTGTGCAAGCATAAAACAAAGGTAGTATCACACCAAAGAATACAGATAACAGTTGGTGATATGGCAATATGTATAGCAAAATAAGTAAATAAAATGAAACAGTAAAAATTGCTGTTTTTCCTTTTAAAGTATAAAACACTTTTGGCTACTGTTCTTTCTCCCATCAGTACTAAGGTTAAATGGACATACAGACATTAAAATAAAAAGAAATTCTTCCGAAGTATCCAATAATGAAAAACTTTTTAAGGATATATTCTAGTACAATAACCAAAAATTGAAACTTTAAATTGAAGAATACTTTATAAAATTTATAGTTACTTTAAAGATTATTAAGGTGCATAACAATTACTGAATAGAGCCACAGAAAAAGTAATCTTGCTCCTAATGCCAGGAAAAAAAAAATCACTTAGTGGCTTGAAGATAAGACTTGTACCGGCATAATAGGTGGTCTAATGTGAAGGAGCTGAAGTTAAAATGTGATGGTCCCATAATAGGAAAACAGTATTGAGTGAATTTATAAACCACAGAGGATGACTTATGGGGACCAACATAAATTAGCTCTATCAAACAGACCAGGTAAGTCAATTGCGCATTGTTCAGAACAAGGACACTCAACTGTGTCGAGAGATAACAGAGGTATAATGACACCTAGCTCCTGTGTCATCACCCTAGATGAAATTTGGCCACACAATCCCAGATCTGTTCAAGAATTCACTGGGTACTAATTTATTGTTTCAGAACAGTGGGTAGTGTATATGTTTAAAATATCATTTTCTTGGGGCAAAGATGAAAACAGATCCCTGTTAATTTTTCCACAATACCAGCTAATTCTTGAGCATGACTTTCAGAGGGATGAGTGATCTTCTGTGTTGTATTGAACACCACTGGCCTCTGAAATGCTGATTCTAAACAACCTCAATTCAAAGGGCAGCCTGAGCATTATTGACAAGCATTGTTTTAAATTATTATCTGCCAGCTGCTCCTGTGACTCTTGTCCTTTGGTAGAGGTTACAGTCTCTTATCTTTTTCCACTCTCACCTCAATTCAATTAATATTTACAACCTTCTGTTCAATTCAAAATATAAATTGAAAACATTTTTATCAAAGCCAGTGAAAAATGGATACTTCATATTTCTATGTCATTGTAAATATAAGGTATTTTAGCCATATGCTTGGTTTGAAAAGCTTTCAATAAATGTTGCCTTAAAAAGCCTATCACGGGGCCGGGGCTATGGCTTAGCAGGTTAATACCCTGGCCTGAAGCACTGGCATCCCATATGGGCGCCGGTTTGAGACCCGGCTGCTCCACTTCCGATCCAGCTCTCTCTGCTATGGCCTGGGAAAGCAACAGAAGATGGTCCAAGTCCTTGGGCCCCTGCACCCACATGGGAGACCCAGAAGAAGCTCCTGGCTCCCTGCTTCAGATTGGCACAGCTCTGGCCATTGCGGCCAATTGGAGAGTGAACCATTGGATGTAAGATCTCTCTCTCTCTCTCTCTCTCTCTCTCTCTCTCTCTGCCTCTCCTCTCTCTGTGTAACTCTTTCAAATAAATAAATAAATCTTAAAAAAAAAAAGTCATCAGTCAGGGGTAGAAACTAAGAGCCTGGGAATTCCAGCCAGGTCTTCCATGTGGGTTACAAGACTCACACACTTGAACCATCACCTGCCACCTCCCAGGATGTCCACTGGCAGGAAGCTGGATCAGAAGCAGAGGAACCCAGCCTCGCACCTGGCACTCTTTGATGGGATGTGGGCATCCCAAGTGGTGACCTGACTGCTGAATCAATCATCAGCTCCAAGTCTACCATTTCTAAAGCAAATATGTGATCATTTATCTTGTAGTACATGAATAAAGATTGTGTTTTCAGTGTGTTCCCAACGAAAATTTCATCCTAT